CAATTCGTTAAATTATTGCATCGCGCGGCATTAGATGTTACAAGTAGATTAACTTAGAGTAGAAGCTTTTTTTTCACAACTCGGTAAATTAATTTGGGCAAAATAACTTGGTGAACACAAGCACATCTGTAAACTTTCAGTAAAACTGTGGTATTTTCATCGATGTTTCATCTTACTAAAAAAAGAAAAAAAAAGAACATTAACTAAGCGACGATGAGAAATAATGAAATTGAACTTTTTCACAGAAACGGATGATTTTTCTCTTACAGAGAAACCTTTTTAATTCCATGATAAAAATTTCAAACAACCACGAATCATTAGAAAGTTTCACGACGAGAGATATGTTTTTCGAAGGTAATTTACACATTTCGCTAGTAAAGTTAACGGGACAAAAGTTTGTCTCTTCTTCCCGGAAAAAATACATCGTTGGGAAAACAAACGTGTGATTTGAAACTTATAATTACACAAGTGTTTCGATAGCACGATTCTAATGAAGTGATTCTCTGTGCGCAATTGCGTAGACACCTTCAGATTCGATAAGCTCCTTCGCACGATTAATCATCATTGAACTTGATCTACACGAATAGTAATTTAATCTGAAGTTGAGATTAGCGAGAGAATCGTTCGCGTTATTTATTTTTTTTTTTTTATATCATCGATATCGTCTCGTTTGTGATGTGTGCTCGTTTTTTTTTTTTCGTTTCTTCTTTTCTCATTTCATGTCTCTTTTCCTTTCGTTTGCAGCATCGAAATATGAAAAAAAAAAAATCATTTTCGACCATTCTATATGCATACATACATGCATACACACACTTACATATATGTATATACATATATATTCGAGGAGATCCACATGGGTCGCAAGAATAGGTTGACAGGATAGACTCTTCTAATAGACTTTGCAGACGGACATAATAATAGCGTCCTTTTTTTCTTCTCGCTTTGTCTGAGGTGTGATATCCAGCGATTCTTAATTTTCTTACATTCAAAATTCAGTACGATGTATGTACGATTTCGCTTCAGCCTTATTCGGATACTAATCCTCGTGAAATTATCAGGCATTTTGTACGACCTGTTGAATTACAACCATCGTATGGTCGTTTCACAACGTATATGCATATTTTTTTTGCTTTTCTTTTTATCGTAGAAACAAATACACGCTTTTCCTTCGAAATGTTTTTCAAACGAGACAAAGAAAGAGAGGAACAATTTCGATGTTTCATCGTGAAAGTTATTTAAACAGAGTTCACATTACAACGCATTCTTATTTCACAAATTTAAATATAATTCCCTTCGATAAATGAAACTTGCGACAGATGATAGTATAAAAGTAAAACGAATACTACGGAGAAACATTTTTTACTTTTCTTTCCGTGATCCTTTAAAAGGATCAACGAGAATTCGTCAGATGAGAAGGCAAAGATTCGTAAGTTAGATAAAGTCATTTAAGTAATTCACTAACGTTGACTATATAAATATTTCGAAGAAAACACCGTTCACAATAAACTTTTCTGGTTCCATCGTCAGATTGTTTCACAGACATTAGAAGATATATAACCTCTTTCTCCTTTATAATCAAACAGATTCTGTTTCAACGTTCATTTAAAAACAATAATAATAAGTTTGAATATATTTAATACAGTTTAAAACTTAATTCGTTGGTACGTAAGTATCAAGCATTATGAAACAATCTGACGTGTCCACGCAACGTACAATAAATAGAATTGTCTAATGTGCCACAATGTATCGATACAAGTAAAACGTTTCGAGAGAGTTGCTCATAAAAGTAAGTGATTGCCTCAATCGTCTAACTCTGCTAAAACAAAAAAAAATCAACCTTAAACGCGCACGACGTTCGAACGAGGAGAGAGAGTTTTAAAATGACAAAAAAAAAAAAAAAGAACAATAATGATCTTAACGATAAATGAAATATACGCTCGTCTACATGCTAACAGCAAAAATTGTCCAGGAACCTTGTTTCAAGCGTGAATACAGGACGAAAACTGAAGCGCACGACGTTGAAAAGTAAACGCGTGGAGAGAGAGAGAGAGAGAGAGAGAGAGAATGCAGTTTCTAACACGCGACGAAAAAAAGCCTACACATCGTCGCGAGACTTTTTTTTGTACAAAACGCTTCGCGTTTCTCTCCGCGACGTCGCATGAACGAAACTCCATGGAAATTTTTTTTATACAAGTGTATTACAAAGCTCGGAGAGTCGTTCGTTAGATTGATACACACACACACATCGACGTTGTTAAAAATTGTGCAGAGAAACGATAGGAATTTAAAGTAGTTAATTTAAGTAAGTAGAAAACATGAATAAAATAGTGTCCCCGGTGGGGGGACAGGCTAAAATATTTTCTTCACCTCGTGCGTCACTTTTACATCGCTAGACTTCACGAATAATCGTTTATTATTATATATTATACTTCTCTACGTAACTACCATTCATCTTTGATATTTCTTTCTTTCATCTTCTTCCCATCGTCTCTTTCTCTTCATTATATAATTTCAAGAAAATAACATTCGTACAAAATTGACTACAGCCGATTGCTTTTATGATGTGTTCGAGTTCGATCGTTCAAATCATTCCCGTGCAAAACGGAGAAATCAAAGTGTACATCCATATATAATACCCCTACCTAATGTCCACCCTTCATTTTCTGCTTCCGCGTTCTCGTTAAGATATGACGTGTATACGTATTGACCTGGCTGATTGATTCCGACCGGTTCCATTCTTTTAACCCGTTCGACATCACTTTCGATGTTATTACAATTTCAACTACGTCGTATAAGCTCTCGTTGAATTCGCAAAAGGGAACGTTGTAACATGTTCGTGGGAATAAAGTTCGGTTTCGGCGGGTGGAACTGTTGCACGGTATGTCAAATCGATTCGCGTAAAACGCAAGGGTCGAAAAGTTTTTACTACTGCTTTAGAACCTTCGTGTAATACAAGGGGATATCGAATCGGTTGATAGGATTGCCGGACCAGGTTTTCGATACGGATGACTGCTTTAACCCGTGGAGTTATGCGGGTTATCGATAGGGCAACAACCTTCTTCGAAATGTTTAGTGTCGGAAAATGGCTGGTCCCTTTGCGATAACGAAATTGAAAACAGGGTCAACGTTTATTCCGATTTCAATTCCCCCTTGTAGAATCACTTTTTTTTTATAGAATTCTTTTATAAACCTACCAATATTGTACATACATGTTCGATGATTTTGTTTTGTTATTTTCTAATATTTTAAATAACGAAACGTCATGTCGAAGTGGTTAAAACGTGTACCTCAGATCCGTTCGTTCAGGTTCGCCTGAAAAAGTCTTATCGAATTAAGAAAATATGCGGGGACATCTTCGTAATTAAGTCGCTACATTTTTATACAGATATTTAACCGTTAGAACGTGCTTGCAGCTCGGTGCTTTTTAAGCGGAAACGTCGAGGAGCGTGCACACTGCCAGCTGCGGAAGTACCTTACGTAAACGCGTTTTTAGCGCGCAGATTCTCTCTGTACGCGCGCCGCCGCTGATCCTCTTCATCTCGCGTGCATATCGAGCGGACGCAAAAGTAACGAGAATTTCGGAAAGTTAACAACCGTACATTCAAAGAAAAAAATACTCGTGCCTCCCTCCATTGCTAATAGCTACATCTCACCATTGTGTACATCCTTTTTTTATTTTTTGAAAAATATTTCACATATCGTAGATCATCGTGTATCGGTGACATAATTAGTCACGATGTTATCAATTTTCGACAAATGAACGAGAATGCGCCGTTAACAATGGAAAAATACTTCTTCTAATCCTTCGTGCACAGTACTTGAAATTCTCTCCTAGGAATTCAAGCTACTTTTGCATCATCGTAATAGGTGTTCATTGCTTTTGGTCCTTCTTGTACCTTTCGTAATTGATTTAACAATTCTGTTCTGTATCTAATCCTCTCTTCTACCGAGTGTTCGAGGCGTGCTCGCTCGAACGAGAAACAAAGTGATTGGCTACAGAACGATGACCGGCGTGACCACCGAAAGAAATTAGTGAGAAATCTTAGAGGATAAATCTAAGAAGTGTCGCGTGAAGTGGTATGGACGTATTTAAGGTGCCTCGATATCGGTTCGAGCGTGTCCGATTTATCTTTCTCTCTTTATTTTCCTATCGCTTGGATCGAAACTGACAATGCCTCGTAATTAAAGATTTCGCGTGACATCCGGTCGGAGTGCTTAATAAAAAATTGACGCGGAGGGGTTGTGCTCTTCTGCGTTTCTTCTTCTTCATCCTCTTCATCATCTCTTCATTTTTTCATCCTTTTCTTCTTCTTCTTCTTCTTCTACGTTATTTTAATTGTTATTAGGCCGAAAGCCGTCTTCGAAGACGCGCTCTATCAAGTTCTTAATCCGGCCCGAGACAGAGTCGTGGCTGTGACTAGACACACATTCCTCACGTAACAACTTCCGTCCAAACGCGCGATAGGAACGACGATTCGCAGGAACTGAGAAATCGGGGGGAGAGACATTCGACGACAATTCGTGTGACAATAGGGTAGACCGACGATGATGATTATCGTTCGATTTCGCGTTCTGGATACAGCATGTGTGTGTGTTGTTGTTTTTTTTTCTTTTTGTGCATGAAACACGCAAACGAAACGCAACATCCACAGGTGAGGACAAAAAGCTAGAAATATATCCATTCTCTTTGATCGTCGAAATATCGAAGCTCTCGATATACTCTGTCGAGATCGAGGACTGTTACTAGTCCACGAGACACGAAGGTGTGTGTGCAGACAGGAAGTTGTCACCGAACGGAGATATAGATCATGAGGCGACTGACAGATTTCTCCGAATACCTTGTTTTTTTTTTTTTTCGTTTTTTTCGTTTTCGTTAATATTTACAGTAAGCTTTGTCTACTAATCGACGATCTTACACAACGTAGTCTTTCTTCCTTCGTTTATTTACTTATTATTTTTTCTGGGTATTTTCATTTTTTTTCCACTTTTTTTTTGCTCGTTTTCTCTCCTTTTCGTTTACCTTGTCTTCTTCTTCTGGTTCGTCGTTGATGAATCTGTACAAAAATGATGAACCGTGGTGATCGGTGTGTATAAATCGTTCACGTCGATACGTGATCAGCGTTCAAGGCGTTCCCAAGGCGGCCAGTGGTGGTCACCTTGAACGCTGGTGCAACGTCGCCGAACTCTGGCTTGGCCAGCGTTATTCATCGTGATGCATTTTCATAATCCTAGCGATGGTCCACGTGGACCTAACCATCTAACGTCGGACGGCACGGATGTCTTTCAGGGGATGCACGAGTGCGTGTTGGTAGCTTGTTCCGGTGACGACAACGCCACTGAGAAGTCTGAGTCGAGGACCAGGTCGCTGACACAGCCGACGATCCCCTTCGTGTACCTGCCTCCTGTTGTCCTCACGATGTCCGGTGCACCACCTGTGGACATAAGGTGCGTACTGTTACTCTTAAATATTCAGACACTATACACGGTGTACCGTAATATGTGCACGTAACTTCTGTGGTGAACATACAATAATACGTTTGTCTTGTCTGACTACTGGAATTCATCGCTGAAGTTGTGTCCTCATATTATGATACACCTTGTATTAGGTGTACCATTTAAGTAATATTAGGTCATCCTGTAAATTCGTGCCGAAAGCGAAAAATATTTTAATGAAAATTCACGACATAATGGTCTTGCCGAAAAAGAAAAATGGAAAAAATGGTGCTTACGTTTCTTTTTAAGAAATTTAATGCTTCGTTGGGAATATTCGTCTAAATTATAAAATTCGACAGGAACTCATGGGATGACCTAATGAAAATTAATCGAAATTATGTCCAATTACTAATATTTACACACTTTCCTTTTGCACGAGAAATCATTCCATCCTCCCGTCTTCATACTTGATCTTCGTGCAATTTATAAAATGGAATTAAAAATTTTCTAACGTTATCAGTAACTTGGCAAATTGATAAAAAATCGAGGGGCCGTAAAGCTCGTCAAATTTCCCACGATACAATTATCTTCGAATCTGGCAATTCATTTAACGGAGGAAAGTAAACAGGGAGTGTTCGACAAGTTAAGATGCGCTTCCATAAATTTTCTGAGAGTGCGGCGATGTATCAAGCTGTTTCTTTACGAGTTCAACAGCTTAGCGGAAGTTGGCGAGAATTCGTAACGCGCTTCCGAGGATGACCCACTTGGTAATTTTGGTAATAACTCAAGGGCAGTTAAACGCGATTGTACAAGTTGGTTCTGCTACTGCAACTTGCGAGCAGTTAATCTTCGATACTTATGATTTTCACACGGAAACGCGACCCATACTATAAACCGTTCTTCCTATAAACTTTTTGATAGATATACGCTGTTATTTTCCAACTGTGAATATTTTAAGCGCTACAATTATATACTTCTCCAACAAACAGCTGCAGATTTTCTCGCCGAAGATTAATGGAAGAGAAAAATAAAACGCGCTACTTCTCATAGCTTCGTAGAAAATTCATGTTTGAAACTTTGTTTCCCGAACCAGTCGCAAAAATACAATACATCTTGCGACTTCGAGAGAAGAAATTCGAAATCACAATTAAAGGCCTTTAAACAAACAAAATTACTCCACGTTGAAGTCACTTACGTACGCTTCGTTTGCTTTTTTATGCGACAGTTTCTTCCAAAGAACGGTCAAAAAATTGTCTACCATGTTTCAATCTTTAACCTAGAATCTTGAAATTAAGAAACGAAAATTTCAAAATAAATACAGGATGCTTGAAAAGAAGTGTCGACACTTATGTGTAACTTGTTTTTAGAGAAAAAGAAGTGATAAGAAGTGTATTTTCTCTCTCTATTAGCTCTCGCTCTATGACAAACTCTTTGCACGTCTCTCTATCTCTCTAACTAAACTATCCTTCGTTCACGCAGCTTTCGCTCCAGGCCGAAACATTCGCACAAAAAATCCTATCACACGTCTATCTCATCAATCCAAGCACTCTTCTCATTCGCACCGCTATCTCTCCGATCGAAACACTCTCTCAACAACTAAATCCTATCATTCTCGCAATATTGCTATATCTATGCAAATCATCGGGAACTTTTTCCATGTATATCTCGTTTCAACAGTATCACACGCATACGTGTTTTCACGGAAATATTTCACTCACCGACATAAAGACCCGTGTCGGTGTTCAGCTGTCTGAGCTGTCCAGGCGACGATGCGGATACTCCTGTGCCGCTGTCGACAACCAGCGACGCCCACTGTTCGTTTCTAAAGAAAGATCCGTCAATTTCAGAAGGTTGGAGAACTCGATTACGAAGTTTTCATCGAATTAACAAACTCCGTCGATACACATCGTTACACAGGATAGGGGGAGAAGAGAAAGATGGGATTTTCTAACGGTGTTACCTGACTGCTCGTACACGGTGCCATAGATCATCGTCCAGTCTCGTTAAATTGTATCGTAGAACGGCTTCCCCGGAGCCAAGATTGTAAGCTAAAGTCAGGTAACCACGGTCCAAACCGAGTGCAAGAAAATCGTCGTTCTCGTCTCTTTGTTCTTGCGGATCCGCTTGTCGTCCGCTCCACAGCAGCAATCCGCTACTGCTGCTCGCTCGGAATCTCATGTTGATGTCCACCCTGTAGCTTATTATCCTGGAACAGGCGGATTTAGATGCGTTCAGAAGGACAGAGGAGGGTCTTTTGCACGTGAAGATGTAGGATCTCTGGGACGAAGGAAGGTTGAGATTTCATTGGTACGGAATGAAATGCTTCTGTTCGTTTCTATTTCTATCTCCGTGGAAATTGGAGTACATACTTCGTGGAAGTAGTAATATAATTGGGGTAATAAAAATTGTCGGAGAACGGAGGGAATTTTATGAGAATCATAAACGAGAATGCTAATTAGTAAAGTAGAAGATATTTAGGGTATGTTTTAACATTTCATACAGGATGATTCACCTTGACCAAACTCGAGGACTTGAAAAATTGCACGACTTTAATTACATTTCGGTTGCATAATTTTTTCATTTTTTTTTCATACTGAAATAGTTGCCGAGCAGCTGCTTCAAATTAATGTTAATTCATGATTCCGAAAGTGCAGTCTTTCTTATTTAAATATTTTTTTAAATTAGAGAGAGTTCTTCGCCTCTTTATTTCCATATTTCGATATGCGTTGGATAACATTTGATCAAATAACACCTGGTACAATCCTGGAAGAAGAAAATCTGCAGAGAATTGCACAATGTTTTCCTACCTCCTCATCGTGTCCGCGTCGTTGTAATGAAGATAGCTCTCGCTTCCGGAAAAACTGGGCACGGATCTCTCGAATTGCGTGCCAACGTTCTGCTTCGCCGCGGATCCATCGAGAATAGTGTTGTCGTCCGGCGCTGGACACGGATGCGGCATGCCAGGACGACAGCGACACGTGAACCGATCTCGAAGAGGGCGACATTCCGCGTCTCCGCAGGGTCTTGCCTCACACGCGTGGCCGCAATTCCCGACGTTCACTCCACCCAGCGCCTCGGCGAGAATTCCAATCTGTACAACGTAATCGCTTTGTTAATGAGGATTAACACTCGCGACAGCTCGTCGCGATAAATTATCTCTACGTCGCTGGATTACTCTGTACTACGAGTCTCTCCTCGATTATGATCGTAACGACGATTTTCAGCATGAAAGAAAGTTAAGTGGTCTGTCTCGTTCAGACTAAAATACCAACAACGGAGTAATTTTCATTAATTTTGACAAATGAATCGGGTGCGCCAACAATGGAAAAATGTTTAATTTAATTAGCATTTTAATTTCTTTGGGAATTTAATCTACTTTCGCGTCGTCGTGAAAATTGAGTAAAGGTTTGTCTGATTTCGAGCTGAGAAGAAAGTTAAGCGAGTTGTCTCCTTCAAATTACGGTACGATTAATGCAATTTTAATTGACAGTTTCTTTTCTTTTTGCTTTGTCAAAGAAGTAAAGGGGATTAAGCTTTCGAGATATAAATATTTTATAGTTGTTTGTGTTGTTAATAGTGAAGTCCATCAAGAAGGACTACCTACTTTCTCCATTTGTTCAAAAATTCAACAGCAATCGTCTATAAGCTAGGTTTTTCATGTCCACACGATGTGATTCAAAATTAAAGAGCTACGACAAGCAATATACGTTGACCTATACTACTTGCCTGATTAACCTCCTGCCTATTCCACTTTCCCGACGAGACTTTAACTTGTACTACTTGCCTGACCATGTCAGCGATCATACTACTCGTCGACTTACAGATTCAACCAGCATTGATCGAGTGGTCTGACCAAACTACTATTTATACTACTAGGCCAACAGAATTCCTGGTTGTACTACTTGCTCAACAACAATTTCCTCTTATTTGCTTCTATTTTTCGCACAAATGGACTCTACGGGTAGAGTATTTTTATTGTTTAATTTCATTTTTCAACTATCGGTCAAATTTTAATCTGCTCTTTCTGTAAAATTTATATTCCGAGTTACATACGTCATTATTAACGTCAAACAGCGTCGCGATAACTAATTACGTTTCTCAGTTAAGGCAATTTCATAATTGCACACATTGGCAATACTATTATTATGTACTACTATTAAAATTTTCCAATTGGAAGACTAGTTACGCAATTATTGCTAATTTCAGCGGTATTAGAACGACGTTCGCGAGTCGCACGATCGCACTTTGTTGCGTTCTAGTTCCCAGGTGGCAATTGCAGTTACCGGAGGAATATTCGCGAATTTATAAGTAGGCGATAGTTCTTTCGCGATAAAGGGGAGCTGGGCGAATGTAATAAAAGCGCAAGCTGCACCGGGCTGGAT